AAAGCTATGGTATTAGGAACTATTATATTCTTTCCAAGCCTACCCATAAAGCAACGACCAGGGAAAAATTTCAAATAGAAACTATCCTGAATATGGTCAAGAAGAGATTAGAAAAATTGAAGGAAAGATGGGNACAAAGCAACGACCCGGGAAAAATTTCAAATAGAAACTATCCTGAATATGGTCAAGAAGAGATTAGAAAAATCGAAGGAAAGATGGGTTGCCCAATGTTCTATAGGCATAATAAACCATACCCCGACAAACAACAGNATAAAGCAACGACCAGGGAAAAATTTCAAATAGAAACTATCCTGAATATGGTCAAGAAGAGATTAGAAAAATTGAAGGAAAGATGGGTAGATGGGTTGCCCAATGTTCTATAGGCATAATAAACCATACCCCGACAAACAACAGGGAAAAATCTGTATGCAATGACCTATAGAATGGAAACAGTGATCACCTAGAAATTGGACTCTCGACCATCAGATCAAAAGTGTTTGATGAAGGAAATAATGATGAGTTGGTTGCTAGTGATTTGGATCTCGTCNCAATCATATCAGAAGTGTTTGATGAAGGAAATAATGATGAGTTGGTTGCTAGTGATTTGGATCTCGTCGAGTAGAGATAGACCCTAGAGCTATCATGATGGCATCCTATCAGTAGTAGATGGCAAGAGCACATGATGGGAAAGTCTGACAGAGGAGATTTCTAGGGACCTTGTACTGAGCAAAATAATGGGAAGTATGAAAGATCCCATAAAAGGTAAGTTCGGTGCCAATTGGAAGGACCTTATAGAGTTACTTCGATTGGAGGGACTGAATCATATCGTCTTGGGAAACTCAAAGGGAAGCCAATTCCATGGCCTTGGAATGTGGCAAACATTAGAAATTTTTAATTATGAATTGCTTTTAGAATCAATACCTTCAATTGTGATTAGTTAGTTCTTAAGTACCTTCAAAATACTTAAAAATTAAATTGTAAGTTTCAATTCCAATTCCAATTTCAATCACTAAAAACTTCCTTTTTACAAACTTTCTTTGTATGAAAAACTTAACCCATCGCTAGGGCAAAGGGTGGGGTTATTTGTCCAACCATGATAGCTTTTTCCAAGGAAAAAGAAAAAATTCCCAAGAATGAAATTCTGGGTAAAAGACCTTGGAATTCATGGCATAACATAACAACCTCTTTGCTAAGGCAGAGGAAAAATCTTAGTGGAGGCAAGGTACCTAACGATGGTGCAACCATATGATCAAACTTAAGCCCAATACTAGGCACAAGTGTGTAAGCCGAATGTAAGACCCGAACACGTATGACGATCATATAAACATCTATTACAAGCATTTTCACAAGTGATATGAATGTGCATCATAAGTAACTACTATTTAATTTTGAACATTGATATGAGACCTAGACCCGTAGGATGAATATTTTAATATTTAGAGAGTGCATATGAATAAGGTATGAAAATTAGTTGGATTGAATAACAATAGGCGAATTATTTTGTTAAAGTATGAAAAATTAAAAGAGTATATTTGCATGTGAAATTATTTTATTATTTTATACAAGTTAGTGCACGTAGGATTAAGTGGGTGGCAAGCATGTGATATCAACTTATTGCTTACAAATATATGCATTAGTATACTTAAGAAGTAGATTAAAGGCTAGAAATATAGATTAGTGGGTTATTATAAATTTGGATACACATATGTGTGTGTGTGTATATGTATACATATATATATATAGAGAGAGAGGGGAGATATATGATATATATTCATAAGGAAGTTTGTGGATGGGATTAAGAGGGACAAAGAGTGGCATCTAGAGGGAGTGGGAGTGGATACTCCACTAAGAACATGTAAAAAAATATAAAAAAAAAGATGAAGGAAAATAAAAAGGAAGAAGAGGAAAAAAAAAAAACAAAAGCACAAGCTCTTACCTCTTGAAGTTTTTGGCTAAGGAGAAAAAGGCAAGGGAGGAGGTTTCCACACTTTGGAAAATTTGGCTAAGGTTAGGTAGGAAAGGGTGGAAGACTGGTGGTGGTGCTTGGTGGTGTAGGAAGTGGGTACAAGAGGTAAGTCATGTAACCTTCTCTCCTCTTAAATGTGTAAATACAATTCTAGTGTATGTATTTTGAGTATTGCATATAGGCTAAGTGTGATGTTTGTTGTTAGTATGTAGTACCATGGGTGTTGCATGGAACATTAACATAATGCTTGTGTGGGTGTGTAAGCATAATTAGTGTTATTGCATGAAAAATAAAAAGAATGGTATTGTTGTGTGTGGGGTGAGTTTCGGCTAAGAGATATAAAGTAGGTTGGTGGGTAGCTTAGGAATCTTATGAATTTTTCCTTGAACATTTCATAAATCCATGGGTGTAAATTAGTTAAAAGGATTCATGTAATTTTATGATTTCATAGAAAATGGAGCAAATTCAAGTATAATTTTGTTATGTTTACAATTTTATGAGAATGGTTTGATTTGAAACATTCATCAACCAGTTATGGACCGGTTTCAAAAGCCATTGATTAATATAGTTTCCAATGTCGAACATCCTCCTCTTTTCGCCTCTCCCAACACTACAACCTAACCTACCACACACTGGTGGAAGACCAATTTGTCGATAATGCAGAAGAACCGGCCCTGCAACCTCGAGTAGATTATTTTATTCAATGTGAATGGATTGTTTAATTCGACTCGAATTGATTATTAAACTCAGTTTGAGTAAACCATTTCAGAATTAAGAAACAATTAAATATTAATGCTCAATTGGAATTTTGAATATTGGGTATGCCATGTCTGTAGGTGAACACCACGAAAAAAGCCACACTCAAAAATTTTGGTTAAGGGATCATCTATAAGGTAGAATCTCACACAAGGTAAGTGTGCTACCCTACATCTTTTATTGATAAATATTTAAGTTTGTGTATATGGTATGTTACAATTTTTGTTGAGATTTAACAACTGAGCAGTAAAATATTGTTTTATTATGGAAATTGTTTAAGTGACAAGGTAAGCCTTTGTTGCTTGGGATGATTGTGTGATGGAACATATGCATACGATTCAATTTGACTATGTGGGGGGTGAATTTACGTGTGAATGTGATTCGTCCTTACAATAAGATAAACGCTAAGGAGGTGAACCGTCTAACTGATGGGAATTACTGTGTGAATGTGGAACGTCTAGGTGACAAAAAATAATTGTTGGATACGAGGCGTCTTTGTGATAGGAATTATTATGTGATTTTGGGACGTGTATGTGACAGGAACTAATTGTTCGATTTGAGTCGTTTGCAAGACAGAAAATATTAAGTGATTGGCAGTCATATAAATGATAGGAATTTATGTTTGATATGATTTATCTATGTGATGGGAGTTAGCTATGTGAATCGAGTTGTCTACGTGACTGAAAATACCTAAGTCATTCAAGTTGTCTAAATGACAAGCGTCTACGTGACGAGAGTTATTTATATGGCTTGAGTCGTCTAAGTGATGAGCATTACTTGTGTGGCTTGAATTCCCTGTGTGGCCGGTGGATTATGCATGAGAGTTATTCATTGTGTGGCATAATTTAGTTATTTGAAAGTAAATATTTGTGCGGTATATTTTGCTTATGTGGTATATACAAGTTATGTCTATGTGATGTCTATGAACATCTATGTGATGAAGTGTAATTTGAATGTTGGTAATTACTGCGTTGGTAAGGTTGTTCCTAAATAAATAAAGTGTTTTTTTATCTCTTATTGTGCTTATGATTATTGATCATATCCTTGCTCTTACTAATGGTCTTAATGACTTTTCAGGAAAAACCGTAAAGATGCGAGGAGTCCACTACCAAGTCTAGAGGGTTGATTGGATGTCATCGTGGTGGTCTTGTTTTTATATCCTTTAAACATAAATTATATATAGGTCATAGTTTTGTGATTAATATCACGGTCTGTAAATAAGTAGGGCTCATGGTGAGCCATGTCACTAAGGGGTTTGGTGAATATCTATGTATGTGCTTGTATTTATGTATAATAAGGTGTATATAAAAGTGGCAAGGATATGTGGTTAATGTTGAGTTCTCTTTATCATTTGTGACTGATATTATACATCGGGTTGGGGTGTTACGCCGAAAGGGTTAAGATTTGAGCCAAATAATCTCAATGGGTCAGAGTGGCTATTAGAATGCTAATCAAAGAAAAGGATACTGGGCCCCTTAAAAGTTAGGGCCATTTTTCTAGGGAAGGGTGTACACATTCGAAAAAGACTTACATAGAATGCACCAAACAAAAGCATAAAAAAGTCTTCCATTCAATTCCACAAAACAAGTTTCTAAGTACAAAGTTTATGAGGAACTAAGGGAAGGGGTTCTATTGGAAGTGGTCTTAATCGGGCCCCTATCAACAACACTCACTTCGGAAGGCTTCTTGTTCAGTATAGGAAAAGATACCAAGTACCTCAAAAAGCACTCTAGTAATGTCAGGGTTGCATCCTAACCTTTCTTGAAAAGGCCAACCTTCAAAATTGGAACTTGCTTCTTGAGCTCCTTCTCGGTCTAATCAATGCCACCATCATTAGTCTTATCCTCCCGAACCTTGGAAGAAGCTTTGAAGGCTTCAAAATTCTCCGTATGAGAAGAAAAATTTTACTAAACACAGGCAATCTCCACCCAAGCCTCTTTCTCTAAACTCTCCAATGAATTCAACTTCAACCCATGCCCCTCATTCTCCTCCGATAACTCGATTGCCAGAGCTTGATAATGGAGCATAGCTTTAGAAATTTGGGAAATCTCGATATTAAGGCACGCAGTTTTTTCTATGGAAAGGAGCCAAGAGTGGTTGGCTTCCTTGTGAGCCCCAACTTCATGAACTCGTTGAAGCCCCAAACAAAATCATCAGGTTAGCAAAAGAAAAGGGATAAAAGAATTGAGGATTAGAACTTTGAGAAAGAAATCCTTATCAACACCATCATTTGAAGGGTGTTGTGGGTAAACTCCTCATCACCCATACTTTTAGAAATCTAGAGATGGGACAGAAGGATGGTGGTCTGAGCAATACCAACCATCACATCCATATTAACAATGGCAAAATTCCTAGATGTGATCTCTCTACATTTAGCCTTGAGGAGTGGACACCAAATTGAGGTGCCAGTCTCCTTAAGCTTCTCAACAAACTCAAAAGAAGGATCAACCTTTTTAATTCTTCTCCATTTTGTGACATTCTTTGGCCACAACACCTGGACATCAAGGTAGGATGTTTTGCCTCCAAGTTGATTGGCATCTTTCTGAGCCATTATATCACCTGAAGGAGGTTAGTTAGACTATATTATAGGTTTGTTATCCAAAATTGGGTTCGAAGCAAGCTCGTTGAAGGATCAGCATTAAGGGGAGTGAGAGGTGTTGGATTGCACTAGATGAATAAAGTTCCTCACCTCCTTTTCCCTTCCCAGGTCATGTTCTTAGAACTTTTTGAAGGTTTGGATGTTGAAGCTCTTTGAACCCGAGTAGCAAACCTAAGTTGTTCAAGTGCAACGATAGAAGTTAAAGGAACTACAATGAAGGAATTATAGGTAGGCTGGTAGATGAGCAGAAGAAAGGTTGCTCAATAGAAATGGTCTGTGGCACCAAAAGACCAGACCTTCTTTAGAGCCTCTGAATTCACCGACCCATTTGGGATCTTCCCTTTGACGATTTCTCCCGCATAAATTCAAGAAGGTTAAGGAATGAAAAATTAGAAAAAAAAATAGTAAAGCCACAATAGAGGGACTATTGAAATTAGCTAGGGCACCCTCTTTATAGGGACATCTATAGCATGGATCTTCACTCTCTCTATGCTCCTAGTTCTTGGACACGAACAAGATGTCATTTTTGTGTCCCATGTTTGAATCAGGGAGATGGGAGACCGAGTAAAGTTCTTTCTTCCTAACTTGGAGGCTATGGAGCACGAATACTTCAAAAGGGTCAAAGTATCGGTATCGGCTACTTCTCGGATACAAATACACGTTCGATACGGCCGGATATGTATCCAATACGGCCTAGAAGTATCCTAGAATTAAAAAATAAATATGAATTTTGGTTACTTTAGGATACGCAAGGGATACATCGTGGATAAAATAGGGATACGTCGGGGATACGACAGGATATTACTTAAATTTGTTAAAAATAATAGGGGCACCAAAGCAAATATGTTTGGGCCTTTATTTGCAAAAAAAAAAATAGAAAAAGAACAATTTATGAATGTATGGTTTCTAAATGATAGAATGGATAGTTATTATTATATATCTTTGATAGATGTGTGATTCACTTTATAAATCATAATTATTATATTAAATATAATAATAAAAATTTTAAAAAATATATTTTATGCACATATTCTAGTCGTACTTGTATCCTATTTTTTTAGATTTTGTCGTATCGTCGTATCCGTATCGTGTCATATTCGTATCTCGTATTTGTATCCGTGCTTCATAGCTTGGAGGCAATAGTTCTTTTCATTAGTGGGCTTTATAATATTGGCATTAGAGGATTTCCCAAATACCAAGGTTAATATCAAGGATATTGTTGACAACCACCACACCATCCTTATCCTAAAGTAAGGGAAATATTGGATGGGGTAGAGTTTAAGTGAAGAGACGACTTCGAGAAGAAAAAGCGAAGGGGAACCTAACTCAAACCTTGACTATGGCCCTTTTAGGGATGGGGATGTACTCTCTAGAACCTATGGGAGGCTGATTTGACCTGATTTATGTCATACACCCAAGTATAAGTGGTTAAATTGTAATATTTTGTGGTTAAATTGTAATATTTCTCGGTTAAGTCCGAGGTCGAACCCATAAGGAGCTAACTGTCAGTATTCAAAATAGAAATGGTAAAGTTGTCGTGTATATAGTGTGCAACAAAATAGCTTGTGGTGTGAGCTTAGAATTTTCAAATAAATATTTAACTAAAACTTTGAAAAACACTAATAACAAGGTACTCTCCAACGTGGGGAGTCAACATGTTTCATGTTGTTTATTTATGAAAATGTCACCCTACCACAATTAACTACCATTTTACTGGAAAGTCAACCGACAGGTTCGATATACATCGAACCATAACACAACAACTGGTTAGGTTAGCTTTAAGGTCTATTTATCATGTATCAATCAAATAACCCTAGTAAACCCGAAGGTGAACTATTCAAAAGGTTTACTCTAGCTATTCAATCAGCAGGTTGATGATTCAATGATGACGGAGTTCTAGTTTATGCATTGAATCAAAAACATTGGCTATGGCGAGAGTTAACCCATCTATAACCAATCTCTCAACTGTTACATAAAGCCCAACTATGTGCATCACCGTATCATGCTTGAAGTATGTAATAATAATAGATAGAATGGAATATATCAATAGGATTTGCTCAGTATTCATAATCATGAACATATTATAAATTTAAACATCCATCAATTAAGGGAGGGAGGTATAAACATTTAACACATAAATAAAATATCGGCATTTTCATAACTTAAATAGTATAAATGGACTAATCACAGCTCATTGTTATAGACGAGCACAAGGAGTAAGATGATCCCATTACAACCGAAAATAAAAGTATAACACGTCCATCCCTGAGGAATAACTGAAACACTGTCACTCTTATTACCAACTGGAGCACAAAAGTGGGAGAGGTTCAACCCTCCAAGTAGAAAGGATAAACAGAAATGTAGAAGTAGAGAAAATTCTAGCTGAGAAGTGATTCTGGTAGGGCTTCGCTCGTCTTTTCTTTCTCTCCTTCCTTCCCTCTTTCACTAGACTGAACTTCGGTGGATTTCCTTTGTGAAATGGCTGCAATAGGCTATTTATAGGAGCTGGAAGGAGGTTTTAAGGCTGCAGACACCCAGGTTGGCCAATCAGAGCTTGTTGTTGCTTAAATGGACCAATAGGGAGAGAGGAGGGGGAAAGGCGGTTTAGCCACCGTCCGGACATCACCACCGTCCAGATGGTGGCAAACCTCTGGTTTTTATGCTTGGTAGCCTTCCTTATTTGACCTTATTGACTTGTTAATTGTAATTACCTCCCCCTCTTCATTTAGCCTTTTGACTTTGATAATCTTGAATTTTTATATTTTTGCTTGAAACCTTGTAAAATTTACAAATTATGCATTAACCCTAATATTATATAAATTAATCATTTTAACCTAATTTACACACATAGCTAACCCTAAATTTAGATTCAATTACGCACTTTTTTAGGGTTAATAACACCCCCAACCAAACATTACTAGTCCCTAATAATAACAATAAATAAACAAAACAAAATCATTTTCGTAGATTTCACAATTGCATTTAACATATGCAATAAGTCGTTAAACCCTTAGGTGATCCCTAGTGGATGAGTCTTGTCTCGTGAAGGTTTCTAGTGAAGATACCTACAAACTTCAACGGTTAGGATTTACATAATATATATTTTTCAGAGATAAAATTAAATCACCATTCCTTTTTATTGCCAGTATATTTCCCTTTCATGGTTACTATAAGAGTAACACACATTAGTTGTAACACTATTTTATATATTTTCAGAAAAAACTCGTGTGTGTGTGGGCAAGGATTCCCTTATTTTAAAAATACTTAAGAAATATCACAATCCTCTATTTTGTTGTACAAGAATTAGCCCCGATGTCAATCCTTTCCAGAAAATCACTCAACAAAGAATATACTCAAGTTTTAGTGACTATCACTCAAAAAATTACATGTGAGGAGAATATTGTTGTCAAAGCAAAGTAATAGCACATGTAATATTCCAAATGAAGATTATTTGAACAAAACTAGAATTTGGCATAATCTCATGAAAGAATATTAACACTGCACTAAACAACATTATCAACACTCTCCCTTTTCTAATGAATGGGTGGAAATAATACATATGCATGACTTCTGGAATCAAAAAGGACTTTACCAGGGTTATAATGTGGCTAAAGTGTATTGGGCTTAAAGAAACGACATCAAATGTATTCAAAAAGCTATCCTGTGATACCCATAAAACCGGGAGTCATTTATTAACTATTGACCATCCGTTAACCCGCGGAAATACCCATGATTGTCGCACAACTGGTGACACGTCAATAACATTCCCTTAACCGGGATTATAAACCACATGATTAACTCGTGTATGTTTTACCATTTGGCCCAATCGAGGTCCAATATGCTACAATTTATAATAATTTGATGTCCATTTATATCCTTGGAACCAAAGAACACATAGCCCAAAAGCATGGCAATGCATTTTTAAAGTTTCAAATTTTTTTGATACAGCTACTGGTAGATTTTTATGGACCTATCGGTAGGTTTTGTTCACTGAAAATATTCTACCGGTAGGTTTTAATAAACTACCGGTAGGTTTTACGTACTGGAAAAATTCTACCGGTAGGTTAATGTTCTATCGGTAGGTATTGCCCTATGTTCTACCACGAAATGAGATGAGATTCACTCATGCCCTTTTCCTCTAGCCCTCCCGGCTCTCTCCACACAATGTAATGCCAATGTATGAAAAATATGTCATTGATGAATTACATCTAATAATCATTTTGAAATAAAGTCATGTGGTTATAAAACCAAGTCATTATTGGATGTTACACATCGGATGACTATTTTATAAAACAAAACCATGTGTCTTTGTTGGGTAGCGGACTTTTGGTGTCTCACCGCTGGCTCCGTAAATCAATACACTTTTTTGGACTTGCACCGTAGGAAGTGTATAAAACTGGTAGTCGAGTCTTGCACCCAGGGAGAGTCTAGTCCTACTTGCTATACCCGACACAAGTTTTTCATGAAACCGTGCGACTCTGTTGAACCTAGGTCCAACGGTACCGAGCCCACTTATCATCCACCAAGTATGGTGTTTGATCCAACAAATGCACGCATGCCCACACCCATGATGATGCCCATGAATGCGATGTTCCCATGCAAATGCAATGTAATACACCATTGCAATCTAAATGTCATGCCCATATGTTAAGAGTACCACATGAGAAAAATTAACCACATTTAAACATATTCCATGGTAATTTATATCCAAGGCATGTAATTACCAATTTCATCACAATGTCGATGCATCTATAAGCATAAATCAACATTTTTATATCCAACCATACATCTCAAGCATGTTATTACATATTATTTGTCAATAACACACTTTATTCACAAGGCATAATTAAAGCACACAGCATGCCCACATAACACCAAATTCCATGGGATTACACAAGTAATTACCACAAACCAATTCCATGTTAGGAATTTATTTTAAAACATTCTATACCCGTTTTAT